GCATAAAGGCCTAGTGCGGTCGGTAAGAGAAGTAATAAAAGACAATGAAATACTACGCACATAGCGGAATCTTTCTGCAATGATCGGCCAAGTAACTCTGGTCCGCAAGTCCATAAGGTGCGTCTTATTTGCATAACCCGAGCAGTCAATTCACACAAATACGCACACCCACCCACCCGCCCACACACACACACACACACACACACAAGATATAGACTTGCATCATAACAATATAAACTATAAAGTTAAACGCAGAATCAGGCCAAGTTTGCATCTGTAACTTAGTGTGGCTTGAGAGAGAGAGAGAGAGAGAGAGAGAGAGATAAAGAGAGAGAGGGGAAAGAGAGAGTTGTTTGCACAAAAGTCGCATTTCTTAAAGCGGAAAAGATAATTTATTAGCATCCCTTCATCAGACCTGCTTGGACGGAGTGCATGGTGAAGTGGTATTCAACTTATGAGCTTCGATCCAATTCAATGGAGGTATGTAAAGACCAACCACTTTCGTATAAAAAGAAACGAGTTGTGTTTTTCGCATTGAATCTATAATAAATGTTGGGATTTTCTCAGTAACAGTGAGCTTCAACTTCAATCGCCCACTTGTTAGAAGTTCCAATTCCCCTTAGGAATATATTAGGAAATATATTTGGATATATATGTATGTACATACATTTATATAAGAAATTTGTCATTTTGTTTACTTACCATTGATGTTTAGTTAATCCTTGTAAAGAGAAGAGATTTTGTGTAAGTACTCTATAGTTAATTATTTATATGCATTTTGTGCGATTCACGTAAACAAGTTTGTGAAAAATTTTTTTAATTGCTTCATAAGTTTCACATGAACAACATGGAATTAATTTTTCTCTAAATCCGTTACGCTCCAGCACTATTTTCGTTTTTTTTTTTTTTTTTTTTTTTGTTTATTTTGTTTTGTGTATTTTTGCAAATGAACGCTGAGAAGAGAAAAAATTGTATATTTTAGTAATTGAATTATTTCATTAACATTTTTTACACATTAACAAAAATACATATATATATATATTTGTAGAAAATATTGTGTAGAGTAGCCGTAATAAGCAGAGTTAGTCTCTGAAAATTATTTGCGTTTAAATTAATTGTAGAACTTTATTAGAAAACGGGTCATTCACTCACTTTACACACCAGCAGCAACATTTACTACTCAATTAAATTAAATCGCTGTATGTATGGAGATCAGAAATTTAAAAAAATAAAAAAAATATATATATAGAAAAAAAGAATAAAATGAGGCCGAGACAACATCTGTCAATGCTACAAAAACGTAAGCGTTTATAATTTCCTTTCACTTCACGTATCTATTATAAAATGCGATTTTTTCTTTCTATTTGATGTAATATTTACCTTTTCTTTAAATATAATCAATTACTTACTTCACCTTTAATTCTATATCATCATCACAATACTACAACAATAATAATAACAATAAGAAATAGAAAAAAAGTGTATTTTAATTTTTTTTTTTTTTTTTGTATAAAACTTTATCACTAACCCATAAAGCATCAATTCCTCAATTTGTTGGCCTTGGCCTATCTATAACAATACTTGGCCTATAAAATACTCTCGTATCTTCTATTGATCTGAAGGGGGATGTGTTCAACGGTATTTTAATTAATTACGTTATTTACACTCTTTTGTAGCATCCTTTACTATTTAATATATCTGAGCGAAAGAAAATATATAAAAATATGTTCTTCTTCTTTTTTTTTTTTTTACATATATAACTTAAATACTACATGTATTATTTATAAATACTCGTATGTATGTCAATATTTTTACTACTACTACTACTATTACTACTACTACTATTACCACTACTACTACCACTACTACTACTACTACTACTACTAAGTATAATGTGACAAGTGATTGTCATGGGGTGGTTCTGATTAATAAATTGCAATGTATTGTAATATAAAAAGCAGAATGCCTCTGTGACTTTGCGCAAAATTAATGTTGGACTTGAGGCTAAAGCAACAAAAAAAAAAAAAAAAAAAAAAATTAAGAAGAAAAAAATTGCAAAAAAAAAAACATAGATAAAAATATGTGCTTTAAGCTGAGAGTACCTCACAGTGAATTCAGACACAACTTTTTTTATATTGAATATGTTTTCGTTTCTTTAGTAAAAAAAAAAAAAAAGGCAGAAAATAATGCAAAATGTTGATTCACTTATTTTATAATACATCTTTCATCTGGAAGCGTAGTACACCATGTCTGTTTAATAATTGTAAATAATTTTTTTTTTTTTTTTGTTTTACTTTTTATATATAAAGTTTAGTTTGAAAAGTTTTAACCCAAACGTTGAAAGGTGAAATTTATATAATTTTTTATATTTATATGGGGTATGTGAGATATTTTTGAATTTCTTTTTTATTTTCAAATAATATTTTCTAAATTGAAATGCTTGCTTCACTTTATTTCTTTTTTGTTATATATATATACAATATTTATATATACACATGTACATATGAATGGTTACCAAAGAAAAATATCAAAATCGTCGAAATGAGTATCAGCTCAATACAGATGTCTCTTGGGGTTTAACTTCCGCACCTGGCGTGATGCCTTAATCAGACGGGTTGCCTACAACCATAGGCACTCATTTAAGCCGAATGATCACTCCCCGGGGAGAAAGACAATCCCCTAATAAGGGGGCCTTTCTTACCCCGAGGTTCTCAGACAGCGCACTGATCAGCTCAGTATCAGTGAGACAAGGCGCTTTGTTCTCCAACTATTGACCATTGACAACTTTTCTAAAGTTTTTCATTTTAAGGCGTGTCGGTAGTAGTCGCTATAAATTTATTGGTAAATAGCACGTATAGTAGTCAAAGAAAGCTTAAGCGTTTCGAATAAAAATATTCGTAACACAATTTTTTGACACATGCCATGCAATTTGTGGGTGCGGTTTGAATTTTCTAACGGCAAGTACTCATATAAATTCATATATTTTTATATTTTTTCCGATCATAAATTTGGTGGAAAAATGGCGTTCTTCCTTTCATTGCAGTAGCCCGGTTGTTCTTCATCGATAGGATCTTATCTCCCTTTAGGGTGCTTTTCAACTTCTAATCCTTTTGGTGGGTTGTTAGTCATATTATGCAAGTTTTATCTTAGAAAGATAACTTATAAAGATAATCGCAGATTCGGCCTTGTCAGAATTGTGATCTACCATAAATGAATAACAATTTTATTCGGTTTACTTGACCAATTCGAATTTAGAGGCACATTTTGTTGCTGCACTCATGTCCGCTATTTCTTTAGGTAGCTACCGCGGGTCGATCTTATTTTTTTTTATGGACTAATACTCTTGCTGGTCTGCGATCAAGTCATCCCGCATAGGTTGAACTCTGAAGAACTTTCTTATTCCAATAATCTTCAATTTATTTATTTATTTTATGACAACAGGAATGCATGATGCCTACGATCAATTTATTAACTTTACACTAAAGAAAAATCATTCTCAAAAAGGAATTTATTCAGCAAAAAGAACACATACCCTCACGTTGAAATGTCTATTTTCTAACAAATGGTACACCATTCATAACCGTATGTAAATGACTTATTATTGGCGAAAAGAAAAAATTTTAATATTGAAATTCTATTCTATCGGTGTTCGGTTCGAATATTTATTTTTTTGTGTTAAATTTTATATATAAATATAAGTTATACTGTAACAAAAAAAATATTAAAAAAAACAAATGTACGGCATATTTTCATTATTGTTTTCTACGGATCTATGGTTTTTGTAACATAGAATTTTTTCGGTAGCGATGCAGTGTTTGTGAATGAAATGAAATATTTGATAAAACGAAAACTGTCTGAAGAAGCTCTGGGCGACACTTAACTAGATGGCCGAGCTTGTGTGCTTTATACGTTTCTTTCTTTATATATATATATATATATATATATATACATATATATATATCTTATTCCTTACGTTGTTCTCGCTCGCTCTCGCTATAACTCTCTTTTTTTACACACATATATATATATATTATTTTTTTCCTTTCCAAATATATATATTTTTGTCTTCAATAAACTTTTTTTTTTTGTTGTTTTTAATTTCAATATGTTTTCATTTAAACACACAAGTATGGTTTGGTTTATTTAAATGTAAATTATAAAAATGTTGGCTGAGGTGGCAGCAAGACAACGCCATACGAACGAGTGTCACATTAATTTTGCTGATCGAACAAATTCCTTGCCTCTCAAAGTTCTTACGAGCTCCATTGAGTTGGTTTGCATGAGTTCTAAGAAATTGAAGCAAGCGATGTGTTCTGGCACATCACAGTTTATCCATTGGTATTTTTTCAGCCTTTTGGTCTAAACTGTTGGATTTTTCGGTCCTTGTCACATTTCATATTTCTCCGTAGAATTGTGAATTGAATAAAAGAAAAAAAAAAAAAAAAAAAAAAAAAAATTTTTTTTTAAAACTTTTTTTTACAGTATTTATTTACACAAATATGCTAAAAAAAAAAAAAAAAAAAAAAAAAAAAACAAAACGTGTTTCACTCTCTCTCTCTCTCTCTCTCTCTTTCTCTCTCTCTCTCTCTCTTTTCCTTTCTCTCCATTCTGCGTGTGTAGAAATAAGATGATAAAAACAAAAAAAAAGAACATAATTATATATAAATTTAAAAATAAATATTCAAATATTTTTTGAGTTAAAAGTTATAATTAAAAAAAACAAAATTATTTTTTTCCTTTCATTCTACCGTTTAAATAATTATTTCGTTAGTTTTGCTTTAATTCTTCGTTAAACTTTAAAAAAAAACATTTTATTGATTATTCTATGTTTTATGCTTTAATTTAATAGAAGCTTTTTTAAGTGTTTTAAAGAATCAATGAAATTGTAAAGCAATATTAATTTATATTAATAGAAATGTGTTATTAATAAATAAAAAAATTAAAAAAAAAAAAAAAAAGAAATAAAACAAGAAAAGAAATTATTTGAAAGTAATAATAAAAAAAAATACATACATATATAGATATATCGAAACTTTTTTTCACTCACACAATTATTTTCTTCTTGTTTAACGAGACACACAAGCTTATCGTCAAATTTCCGCTTTTAACTCTCTTACTCTTTCAACGGATTTTCCAAGTTTTATTATATAACGTTTAGTATTTTCAGAGAAAAAAACAAAAAAAAAAAATTCATTTTGTTTATTGGATTTTTTTCATTAATTAAATATTTAAAGAAGCTTTCAAACTAGCTCCGTTTTACATGAATGCATAAAAAAAGTATTTTATATTTGCATAAATATTAATGTGTAAATACATACATGCATACATACATACATACATTGAAGGATTATTAACGAAAGTCATGTACACGGCTGGTGCGTGTCACTATCGTTTTAGTCTCTTCAACGACTCGTTTATATTTGTGTTTATATACGTAAGCATACACAAACAAACACCTTTTTATTCTATACACCGAAATATATAGTCAAAGTTTTATTATATACAATAATCTTATCATAAAATGCGTTGTTGTTGTTTCATTTGTTTCTTTGACACGAGTTTAAGGGCAAATGTTTTCCCAACAGGCGAAGCAAGTTTGCTTTGTATAACGTATCAGTAAGTCGGTGTATATCGCTTTACTATAGTGGCACACAGGCCGGTTATATCTGACTCGAGCTTAGAAGAATGCTGGCTCTATTGAATATCACAGTGATTGGAGTGAACAATTGTTGTCTCAAGAAGTAGAGAAGACTTCAAGTACTCCCTGTGGGAGTCACTTTCATCAACAAACAACAATATGCTAACGACTACGGGTATTGCGTGACTAAAAGCGAAAACTTATTCGACAGCTACCAGTTTTCATATCTTGCCCCATTTGTGGTAAGCGAATTATAAGTTTTTGTGATTGTTTGGATCGTTCTCCTCTGCGGTTTGGTTACATCGATCGATTGAGAATCACTTAAGCATGTCTGTCCGTGGGATTTTTAATGTCTTTCCTTGCAGGTTTATATTCGTAATTTTCGGAATATCTAAAGGAATTTTTATTTACTGTTTTGGTCCAAGAACGAATACTGTTAAGAATGAATTCGATTGGACGATTTTTTACGGGCATTTTTTATGTCATGTGGTATTTTCAAAAAGTCATTACATGAGAGATATTTTCTGTTTTAGTATATCTCGACCGGATTCAGTGAAAAGTAGAATTTTGAGCCCATAAATAAATGGGGACAATTTGGAGCAAATGGGACCATATTTCAAAAGTATTTCCCCTCAAATTCAAAATATAAATTCAACAACAAAGCAACAAGGTCTGAGTTGGTCTACTGCTAGGTTCGTAGGTACGTATTTTGGTATTCTTCCCACATAAGGGTTCTCATAAAAAGTGAAACTACGCGATAGCAACATGTAACTGATTGTTATGTTATGACGAAATTACTTCAAGAATTATATAAGACGAAAGGGTGTATATGGTACTCACAAGCCGAGTTTGTCCCGAATTCGGGAGGATTGTCTCTTTTAAGTCTTGAGGGGAACTAGATTAGTCGCAGTTGAAATCCAATAATTCCCATGGAAGTTGAAAATGATTTGATTTAAAAGTCGGAGTTGCTATTGAGCAACTAATAATGCTAATAGTTGACTATGAGTTACCTGTGAACTGGCCCTGCACTTACTTATCAATAAAAGTTGCTCTTGTTTGACGAAGGTATAGCATAAGTCACACTTGTTAGCTCTCATAAAAGAATCGAGGAATACAAAAATGTATTCCTTCAGAAATATTCATCGAAGTTCTCATTACCTATATTCCTCATTGGAACATTATGTTTGATCAGTCGAACAGTTCGTCTATTGATCGTTTGCTGTTTGAACATTGCACGACTGCAAGGAGGATTAATTTGATGCAAAAGTTTTCGATTTACATTCATAGATTAAAATTGATATTCTGTATTATATAGCCGGGAAAGAGTTTACAATCGAGCGCTAGATATGGGAAATTTGTCGCGAAACTAATACAGTTTTCGTAACCAATTTTCTGTTACCGCAATTCTCGAAGTGGCAGAAAGTATGAAACGCCCGAGGCAGACATTAGATGTTCGCACACTAAGAATGCGAATAACCCTCAAAAACCGAAAAATTTGAAATATTTTTCTCGACGCCTTGTGATTCATAGGAGGGCCGCTTATATCTGACATACGTTTGTCTAAGTGAAGACGAGCCGGACCCGGAACTAATGACAAATCGAATAATTCTTGTATATCTTGCATGTAAACCTATATTCAAGTTTCTTGTTTTATATATTATATACACAAATATATATATGATATTTGAGATTGCAAAAAAAATTGATTTCAATGCAATATACATTTTAAAATTGAAAAAAATGGCAACAAAACAGAAAAGAAAATAATATTAATTATGAAAATTCCTTGGATATGGATCTGGGACACAATTTTCTACTTGAAAAAACATGAAATATGTTGTAACGATATATATACATGTATAATAATTACAAGGTAACTACCGGGTATGCAAAGATGAAACCGGAATTTTTACATAGTAAATATACTTTTATTGTATGAAAATGATAAGAATAATTGCAACAAAGTATTTGCCCATCGTTACCTGTACATTTTTTGCAGCGTCTAAGAATTTTTGTATGCCACGCCAAACACACTAATGCTGTTCCGAGGCGAACCAGATATCAAGTTAATTTCGTACATTTTCGTAGGAGGTAAGGTGCTGCTCAGCAAGTGCTTATCCCATCGATGCAACCATGTGATAATCGAATTTGCTGAGTAAGCCGCATAGGCCACTATTTCCCATTAGAGTGGTTCTAACGTATCATAAACTGGTTTCTGGATGGACGGATGTGATGTAAAAAAATTATCTCCTGAAGCACTTGCTATGTTTTGAAAATGCAAGTTGGCAGAGATTCCAACTTTTAGTTGCCGGCACAAGAAGAGCTACGAGAGAAAGGCCAATTAGGAAAGCCAGCTGTTTATAACTAAAGCTTCAAAGCTGAGAAAGTCAGTCGCACACATCAAACCCTAGACTAGATACAAGTCCATGTTAGCGCGGGCACCTAGACTTAACTGAGGAGAAAGAGTCGCAAGGAGTATGAAAGGGAATGGCTTCTAAACCTTCTCAAATCATCTCGGATATAATATACAATCAACTGAAATGCCCAAATGACTCGCGCTCGCCCACAACTAGGGAACTTTGACAGAGGTGAACAGTTGAAAAGTAATGATTCCCGCGATGAATAACAGAACTTTAAGCATTTCCTTGACCAGAGACCACAAGACCCTGTGGCCCTGTTTCTTTCGTGAATCGCTCAGACTATTCCCATTTGAGAATAAGTGACTTTAAAACTCATTGTTCCACCGGTGACCTAATGGCATACCCTCGAGCCATTTATAATCGACGAATGCAAGATTGTTTGCAATATGTCTGCAAAGCATTTCACAGAGTAAGGTATGATGCTCCCACCCTCAAACTGACTCCTCGGCTACAAATTCTTTCGATTCATAGGAAGCGTTACAAGGTTTTGTTCTCTTTTCTTCTCGCATTTTGGCGTTCATCAACGCGTCTTGTACATAATAGAAAGCCGTATTTATGCGAAAGAATATTCCCTTTAAAAAAAAGATCGGGCAGCGCCAAGCTGGAGAAAAACGAAATATTAAGACATTAGTGGAGCCAGGCAAACAGAGCTGACTTCAATGCCAGAACTGTGCTGTCTCTTGTCGCAAAGGGCAAGTGACGAGCACCTACTTTGGTTCGGCCCTCGACAACATTTGATATTTTCGGTATGAAACGAGAAAGTGTTGTATCCTGGAAGGGGCATGCACTTCAAGCCTCAAAAGTGGTATAGTTAAACTTGTAAAACATAGCGAGCAATACTTCACCCATATTCGCATCATCTACATGCCTACCTTTGGCTAGAATGACGGTAATCTAAACAGTACTTACCATGATTGTCGACGTAAAGTTTTTATTTATGGGTAGTATATAGAGCAGATGTCCTTCATAGGTAAAAAATATCTTATCACTTGCATGCGTGTTGAATTTATCTGTAGCTAAGCTTTTTTACGATTGGAAATGGCTTACCTTTTTACGGTAGGAAAAAGGCCGCGGTCCCGAATACATGAGGCGACACAATCGGTGACAAAGCCCAAATTGACGCCGCCTAAGGCAATGCCATGTTTTTAATGAAATTGGAAGCGAACTAAGTATTATAAGCTTGTCCAAGTTGCCCGGATGATTGATTCCACTCTCTAGCGCTCTCCCTATTTCACTAGCTGGCAGCTAATACAATTATAGCGTGAATGCGCGGTCTTTCATTGTGAGAACAATAAATCTTTCGCTTAATGACTCCAAAAAATCGAGAGAGAGATTGACTAAAAAGCTTTAACGCGCTTCTGCAGAGTTCTATTAATGGCGTAGATCTCGTTTCAAGAGCTTGTCGAGATAGCTTAGCCAAGATTTTTGCGTTGAAATCCAAGAAAATCTTATTAATGGACAAATAATGACACTATGGTGAGCATTCGTCTTTGGACCAATGTCCCAGAATCTATCGAATGTTGCGGCCTGAACAACACAAGAAACAAAGACGGACGGAAGAGCTTGGATTGATTCAGAAAGTGATTCCGTATTATAAAAGCTGGATCGATCTCAAGTTCTTCTGAGTGTTGTATACACTTGTACAAATTTAATATGTCCTTGTACCTTGTGCAGGGTCTAAAAGGAGGCCCATATTTGATTTGATAAAGTTGATGTGAAATGCGAAGAAATGTTTGTTAATGAGAAAATGCCACGAAATCTTTACGGTTTGATACTAATCAAAGTATCCCAATAAACAATAAATTAAAGGGTAGGAGAAGAAAGGCAATTAAATATATATAAAAATTGTGTTTTAACTGCAGTGCGCCCACGGATCGAGTACGAAGCTTTTTCGCTAATTATCTCCTATGAAAATATTTCGACAGATTAAAAATTATTAATTAATTTTTATTGAAGTTTTCTACTTTCCACTTTCTATTTTCCTTGCACTCGACCTTCGATTGATAAGCTGACCAGGTCAACTTTTAAATATTTGTAGAATTTAAGCGAACAATTGTGCCGCAATATTTGTATTTATTGAGAGCTGCTAGATATCTAAAAAGAATTCGATTGATAGACGTGTGTAGGCAAGTTGACTATGGATCTCGTTAATATTGTTTACGGGAGATTCGTGTATTTCTGTGCAGTTTTTGTGTGTTATAAATGATTCGACAAAACTTATTTATATTCATTCTATGCCAGCTTAGTTATAACAATAATACAATTAAGTGAGTCATACTTTAAGCGATTGTTTATATTGAATTGTACTAAAAAAGAAAAAAAAGTAGTATTTTCTCCAACAGGCAGCTACGTCACGAAAAAAGAGCTTTAACAGGTATGTACAGATAGTAAGCTAAACTCTTTGCTAAGCAGCAAAGTCTTTTTACTTCACGATAAACTTTTAGTTTCATTTTGAACGTTCAACTTCGAACATTGGATATGAGCCTTCATTTTGCATATATTTCGTTGTTTTCAATTTGGTTTATGTTTAAATGCGTCTCGTTTTAATGTGCAGCCAAAGAGTTATTGCTAATGATTTAAACTAAAAAAAAAAAAAAAAATGAAAATTATTTAAACCGTGTATTTGGAAAGTATTCAAAAGTCATGCAACATTATAAATAAAAAAACCGTATGTGAGATATTCATCTATAAGTCATTACATATATATATATATATATATATATAGATATATATGCGCTTGTCATTCAATGACCACCGTGTGATATTTATTGCAATAAACTATGTAAACAAGTGCGCGTACATATTTACAATTGTCTATATAT